ATGAACAGTTTAGCTTAGGTGGTTGACATAATGCTGTATAACCACGTTAGGTTATAATACAAACATCATTGTGATGCTACAACCTTCAGCTTCTGTTGCTACAATCTTCTGTTGAAGCCAATAGTTATTGACTAAAAACAAGATGCAGCAATTATACATAATCAACATGGATTTACCATTAAAATTAGAACGACATTTATAAACATGCAACATTTTCTATCATTAATAGGCTGTTGGAAAAAATTAAAGGAACACTTTGAAAACATGATAAAAAAAAAAATCTGAATTTTCACATCAATTTGGATTTTTCTTGCCTTTATTGTAAACAAAAGAAGGCCAAATCTTTTTTCAAACATTTAAAAATTACTATTCCACTGAGGATTTAATTAAGCCCTTTATTTAAAAAGCAATGATTATTCTATGATCACGTGTCAAAAAGTATAAAAGTATTAGATGCTAAAAGTGGTAAGAAATGAGTAGTAATCAGAATCTGTTGTCTCTAAAGTGGTGTGATCTCTTCTTCCATCATACACTATCAGAGTTAATGGCTTAAAAAAGCTCAACAAGCTAATAAAGAAGCCAGCTCTCTTCTAGGAACTCCTCTAGAACCGCTTTAGATTATTAAAAAAAAGAAGAATTCTTCATAAAGCGGAGAACATCATGAACAACAGAGCAGTGCCTTCAGTCAGAGGCTTCCCCAGATGCGATGCAAGACAGGCCGCTACAGAAGATCCTTTGTGCCCTCAGCTATCAACACCTATCAACACCTGTGTAAAAAATTCTTTGAGTTATTGCAACATTTAATTTCCCTTTGTCCCCATTGAACTGGAAGGTAAAGCTGTCAAAGCCGCGGAGTAAATGGAGGCATGTTTAAGTTCTACCAGCAGATGGCAGCTTTGTACAACAAGGCTTGCACACTGATTGCTCAAAAAATATTTTCAGGTTAAAAATGGATTACGCAAACACTATCAGGATGAACACCTTCCAAAACCATCCAGCTTTATTTATATAGCACTTTAAGAAAAATAATAAGACCAAAGTGCTGCCCAAAGGCGGAGATATATAAACACCAATAAAAGATTAATAAACAATATAAAATAATTAAAGGAATTAAAACATTCCTGAATTTAAAACAAAGGCATAAAATCCACCATCATCAACATCCTTTTTAATGTTTTTAAAAATGATCAAAGAGGAAGCCTTCCTGATAGGCAGAAGGTGGGTACCTTGCACATATTGCCTCATTTTACCCCGAATATATTCTTATTTTTATACTTTTTATCAGGCATAAGTAGACGACTTTAACAAAAAAAAAACAAAAAAAAGCTTCCACTTGACTGCTCAGGTCAATATGCCAGAAGTTAAATTAACTTGATACCAAACTCCAAATTAAAAATGTTCCTTTATTGTTTTAGTTGAAAGATGTATTTCTGGGAGTAAAACTGTTGTAATCTTTTCAAAGAGTTGGCTAACCTAAGCTAATTCAGCGTTAATTTTCTGACTTTATGTTTACAGTTTGTTTTTATGACAAGATGTTGATTAAACTAATAAATCTACTGCAAAAATGCTGCTTGTTTGAAACTGGCAAAGATTTCTCAAACTGATCCATCAGATCAATGGAGCGGGGTCCGTCAGAGCCCTGTGAGACGCAGAGGATAAACCCTGGAATGGGGTCTAGGAGACCATTTTGAGAAACAACATGGGGGGAGCTATGGAACAGGGGTCAGTGGACACCATTCTCAGCAGAGTGTTTTATTAATGTTAGTTCTTGGTTGGACATGGGTTGCAATGTTTGACAACCAACATTGAGACAGGAACCTCTGAGAGGCACAGATTGGGTGGCCGAATTTATTCTCTCTTTCAGCAGTTCAACCAGAGGAAAATGCCACTAACCACCTCAGGATCTGTGAGGAGGGGGAAGGAAGAGGTTTTAGGATCCTCTGCAGATCTTACAGCATCAGTGATGTCACTGCAGGCTTGAAGACAGAGAGCAAGTTTAGTGGCGTTCGAATCAGAATCAGGCTTACAAGTGATGGGACTAGCTAAGAAGCACAAATGTAATAGGAAAATCAGAAACACCCCATGAGAGCCGTCACGGTGATGAAGTCATTGAGCAGAAACGGGACCAATAAGAGGTGATTAGACAGAGAAAGAACGCTGGACATTTACTAACCAAGGGCTTTCAATAATCTGGTCCCATCAACTAGTTTGGTGCTGTAACTACAGACATTAAAAGATGTTATTTCAGCTGAATTTGGCGTCCAAACTATTGCTTGAAACCAGAACTATTACAAAATACCCATCTACCACTGCCTTAACAGTATATGGTGTGGGTATACTAATAGGACATTGGTAAAAGGGTATTTTGTGCAAGTTCTGGCTTCAAGCAATGGTATAAGAAAATAAATACATGCATCTTTTTTTTTTTAAATCATTATTTATTATATCAAACAGGAAGAGTCCCATTGAGATTAAAAACTTCTTTTTTTTTTTAGTTCTGTGCAGGGAAATGGAATGTACAGCAATAAATGATCATTTGAACTCAAAGAGTAAGACTCAATACTTCTTTGCGTGATTGAATTGCAGATGTAAGATGACAACAGCCCGAGAATGGCATTTTAGATAAAAATGTATCAATATCCCAGCATCCTGGTGGATAGAGAAGGCCATCTTACTTGGGAATATAGTTCGCAATAATGTGTTAGGGCTCCACAATTATTAATAAACCTCAGAAAAGCATGATAAACAGAGTCAATCTTTCAGGTGAGACTTTCAGTTGGTCATTTACAACAAGTCTTCATAATCTAAGACTGATAGAACTGTTGCAGTAATAAGCTGCTTGTTCATCCTAAGGGAAAGACAAAGATTGTTTCCAAAGAAGAAACCTCATTTAAATGTAAGTATTTTCATAAGATTATCTTTGTGGGGTTGAAAAGGGAATTAATTTGTTGAATCAAAACATGGTGAATTTTTTTATTTCCATAGAAAAAAAAAAACATTTTCACATTACAACAGTAAATGATTTGATCGAGCATTGGTACAATATTTGGCATGAATATAAAAGCCATAAAAGACAAGTTGGGAATGAGATACACTTTTAGGTAAAAAACAAAGCAAAACCAAAAAGCACTGAAAATGCACACTATTGGTAGGAAACATGGGTAATAATTTCACCTTAGTTATGAACGACGGTTATGGTTGTTAAACGATTATGGATATTATGGAAAAAGACAATTAACAAAAATGTATCCCCCGTTTCCATGTAAGCTACTGTCAACGTATTTTGAAATAGACCGACCATGTCAGAGACATTAACTGTCTTCAAAGTTTAACAGTTATCACACAACAAGGAGTTGGCTTTGACCAATCAATAAAGAAAAATGCTAAAATTAAAAAAGATAAAGGATCCCACAAGGATGTAAAATGTTTCATTGTTGCCTCCAACCCAAAGAGTGTAATAGAAATAATACAAGCAAGCCATGTTTGCTCCAGCAACTTTAGAGGAAAGAAGTAAACCAGGAACTTTATTTATTCCCTTTGTGACTTTTTTCTATAGAGATGAGTTAACTCCAATATCCCATTTCACTAACTTCTTGAGACATGAGATTTCTAAATCTATAGTGTTGAGACTGGACGCACCAATCAGATTCTGGTGGCCAATTTTAAGCTTTGTACAACTTTTACTTGCTGGGAGGCATTTCTGATTCTGTCTTTAAGATCTGAAAATAACAGCGTCTAAAATTGTGTTTTCCAGCCATCTTGTCCCTCAGCTGTCCTTAGTTATTTATACTGTAACCAGAAGCAAAAAGCAGCTGCTTTAAAAAAAAAAGGGTTTTATTGTTTAAGACGAAAATAAAACAATTAAGAGTGAATAGTTTAAACATAGGTGTTCTCAGTGTCGCGTGGGTAGCATTGCTGCTTTGCAGTAAGAAGGTTCCGGGTTCAATTCCCGGCCCGGGGTCTTTGTGCATGGAGCTTGCATGTTCTCCCTGAGCATGCGTGGGTTCTCTCTGGGTACTCCGGCTTACTCCCACAGTCCAAAAACATGACTGTTAGGCTAACTGGCTTCTCTAAACTCTCCTTAGGTGTGAGTAAGTGTGTGCATGAATGATTGTTTGTCTCTGTGTTGCCCTGCGATGGACTGGCCACCTGTCCAGGGTGGACCCCGCCTCTCACAGGTAGACAGCTGGAGATAGGCACCAGCACCCCTTGTGCTGCTCGGATACAGCGTTTTAGAAAATGGATGGATGGCTAGTACGTCTTATTTAAGCAGTTAAAAAGTACAGGTAAGGTTAGCATAGCTGTAAACAGTGATTTAGTAGACAAAGACAACTCTCTAATGTTTTATGATATTATAATAGTTTATATTTAAAATAAAACTGTAGTTGTCTTATCATTTTATTTTTACTTTTGTTTGTAGCACTTTGCGACGCTACAAACTATAAAACATATTCAGTATTGTCATGGTAACCTTTCAAATAATTACTATCATTACCGTCGTCTCCATGGTTTTGAACCTCATCTTTTCTTTTACAGTCAAACTCAAATGGAACCGAACCTGTTTGCATGTATTAAATCAATGGCAACAGACCCACTTATAGCACAGCAAAACAATAAAAAAAAATAAAGTTTGCATGTGCAATTTAGCAACACCTATGTGTTTTTTTTTTAGATAAAGGAAATGGCAAAGACAACAAAATGAAAAGGATCTTGAGACAAGACAAAATAAACAGCAATCTTGAGTTTTTAACCCTCAAGCATAGAGAACATGGTTGGTCTTAATAATGGCGTGTCCATTTGGGCAGAAAAACATCCCAAATTAACTAGATTTACTCATGACAGCCAATACAGCATGTAAGAAACAGCTATATAAATACTCTTTTTTGCCTTGCTTGAGGCGTTTAGACTTCAGGAAATGTTGGACATTTTGAAAAGCTATGAATTTTGCCATGGAGAGCTGGTAAACAATAATAATGTGACTTAATAACAGTGAATAATTAATAACAATGAATGCATATAAAAGCAGAACATTTAGAACTAGGACACTTTGGAGGAGAGAATGGAGGAGGTGACAACCACAAAATACAGTTTAGACAGAAATGTGATGCCCATTTTATAAGAACCTATAGTCCTGGGATTATTGCTGAGGCTCTCTGATGTTTAACATTAACACTGTAGCTCTTCTTTTTTTCTTCAGAGGACATTCAAATGCTGAAAGAAGAAGAGTTGCAGACATTCTAGTGCCCCCTAATCGATCATAAGCTTCTTGAGGGAGTTGAGATAAGCTGGGATGAGGGAGCTGACCGACTCGTCGTCGTCATTGTTGAGGATCTTCTCCCCTCTGCCCTCTGAGCCTGCAGAGCTGGGTGACCTGACCAGGCTGGGGTACGGAGTGCTGTAACCCTGGCAGAGCAAACAGAAAATATTCAGGACAGAGCAAACACGCATACCCACGCTCAAAACTAAGCTAATCTGTAGCTGCACTAATTGTAAGAATCACTGGCTAGAATTTAAACAACAAATATTTCAAAAGCATTTATCCTGCTTGATCGTTTTCTCATTTTATTACATTATAAACCACAAACTTCAATGTGTTTGGCTAAATGTTTCTAATTTTCCTCTATAGGATAATAACTTAGGATTAGTCTGACTTGATGCCATTTTCCCAATTTTGTAGCAGAATCTCGGTTACACATAAATCTGGACTTTAAATGGGCCAACAGGAGGATGCTCTGATCCAAATCATCCCAATGCAGCTCTGATTGTTTCAGACTGTTCTGTATTTAACTGCACTGTCTGTTGAAGATATTACTCCCCACAGCATTATGCTCCCAACACCATGCTTTACTGTGGAAATGGGGTGATAAAAATGATGTTTATCTGTCTGCACAGATTAAACAGTTCACTATGAGAAGCTAAAAGCTTTATAACCTAGTTTAATCTTCAGAGTTCACTACATACCCGTCTGCTGTGTTCCCTGATGTACAAAGAACTGAGGCCTTCACAGCACTGGTGTTTTTTTTTTAATAGTAGCAGCCATTTAAAATGCCCCTTCCCAGTCGAACACCAGCCGAATGGGAGCCCACTTCCCTGAAAAATTCCCAGCAAAATCCCATCCAGCTTCCATCCACTGACCTTATCCTGGGCATGCAAACCCTTTCACTGAATTACAGGGTCTGACCAGGAGATGATGCTTCTCTTTAGATCTTAATATCCCAAAATCCTGACGGAAAAAATATTGTAGTGCAAAGATCGATCTTTACAAAGGAATTGTAGGGGAGCAGCCAAGGGCCGATCAAGGAAAGTGGGGTAATTTTGAATGGGTACTACTGTATTCTAAGAATATGCATCTACAAATTAGGCGGCTTCTGCGCAAAGTTGTTTACAATGGATTTGACTTTTTGGCTGTTAGACTGCAGGGGGCTGAATGTAAATGCATGCCACACTATTCAGATCTACATTTGTAACAGTTTTAGCAAAATGCATGATTTTGTTTTTACACTCCTGCTTTGTGTTGGTCCATCACATAAAATTCCAACAAAAAACGCAATTAATGTTGTAATGTGACAAAGTGTGAAATGGTTTAGAGCACAGGAGCAATTTAATGACCGTAGATGAGACTTTAGACAGAGAACATACAGAGGAGTATCCTTTGCCGAAGCTGCCCCTGTTCTTGGTCCTGATCTTGGTCAGGGCAGACTCTGCGATATCAGCCCGCTCCTCAGCATCATCCAGCTCATGAACAGTCTTCCTGTACTTCGCCAGGTTCATGTTCGCCTGTTCCTCCTGAAAAGACATCACATTGTAAGCAAGAGAAACAGAGAGTCACCCACAGTGGCAGGGAGGACCATGTGACATACAGCCTCTTCCACTTGTCTTTTGTACGCCTTCATCTTGTTCTGCAGCCTCTCCACCAGCTCCTGCATCCTCTGCTGGTTCTTCTGGTCCTCCTCGGACTGAAACAGCAGCTCCTTCAGACGTCGCTCATTCTTCCGCAGCGTCTTCACCGTCTCAGCGTGCCGCTTCTGCTCGGAGTCTAACTCCAACTCCAGCTCCTTCACCTGCACAGAGGCAGAAACTGACACTGAGAGGAGCTTCATACGGGATCAGAATAAAGATTCATATTTAGTTGTTAAATCAGAAAATGATCTAACATGATGATTGATGATGGTTGATGCAGCAGCCATCTTCTTTAATATTTTGGATTATTGCCATTAAATGTCATAAGAAATGCCATAAGACATGCCATCACAAACTTTACAGATATTTCTCTTAGCTACATCAGATACTAGCGTAATAATAACATTAATCATCAATATTATTATCATTATTAAACATAGTAGGCTACTCCTGATGTAGTAGCACAATAAACTACATTTCACTGCTTTGTATTTGTGACAGTGTGATCACAATAAATTTGAATTCTATTGTGTTCTAATAACCTCTGAAATGAAAAGTAGAGCAATTAGAGGTCATTTTTGAAGTGTTTTCTTCTTGTGTGACTGTTTCAAAGCTTCACTGCTTCCTACTAGATCAAACCTAAAGGCTATTTCACTTTTTTTAGGTTTAGGTAAAATATTTAGATTTCTGGGTTTATAATATTTAGAATAGATATGCTAGAATTTGATATTTCACCATATCTTTATATACTACTTTGTTTGCGTTCATTAGGATTCTATCCACTGCATAGTACATGAGGAAAAATTTAAGTTGCATACTTTGGAAGTTAAAGGAGAAGTTCGGTTTTTTACACTTTAAGCCCATTTTCTGTAGTGTCCAGGATGAAATCGAATGATCGACACCAAAATTTTGACAATTGCTCCGGTCTCTGCTTTTTGGCTCATTTAGAATCACCCCCTGGCTGCTTTAGAATGGCTTGCATAGAGCATGTCCGATAATGTCCTTAAAACAACCTTAAACGTTCTTTTTTTTTAAATATGCTACTCACCGTGTCGTCAGCGCTGTTCAATGACGTTCCAAAAAAAGTTTCGTAAAGAAAAAACGTTCCTGTAGTGTTTTATTTAGCATTTTGTAAATCCCATTGAGTTCTGTAGGAATAGTCAATATTCCGCTGCCACCGGAAACGGAAATGGGGCCTGTTTACACAGTTGTAGTCTTTTCGCTTCACTCTGTGTACTCCGACGTCGAGAATCAAGAATCCACCTTTCGTATTCTATTTTCAGAGTTTTTTAAAGTGTTTAACAGAGACGTTAGCACCTCGACGTCGGAGTACACAGAGTGAAGCGAAAAGACTACAACTGTGTAAACAGGCCCCATTTCCGTTTCCGGTGGCAGCGGAATATTGACTATTCCAACAGAACTCAATGGGATTTACAAAATGCTAAATAAAACACTACAGGAACGTTTTTTCTTTACGAAAATTTTTTTTGGAACGTCATTGAACAGCGCTGACGACACGGTGAGTAGCATATTTAAAAAAAGAACGTTTAAGGTTGTTTTAAGGACATTATCGGACATGCTCTATGGAAGCCATTCTAAAGCAGCCAGGGGTTGATTCTAAATGAGCCAAAAAGCAGAGACAGGAGCAATTGTCAAAATTTTGGTGTCGATCATTCGATCTCATCCTGGACACTACAGAAAATGGGCTTAAAGTGTAAAAAACCGAACTTCTCCTTTAAATTGACTTTAGTTGACAAGCTGTCAAGCTGTTTTGTGACATATTTTTCAATTATCTTGGAGGCCATTGATAAAATACGTATATATGCCTACAACTGCATCGCTCAGTGTGAACTCTGATACTCTGATGTATAGAGCGGTGTAATCACCAATCTTTTATTTAGTGAATCATCTATCACACATATGATTGGGGCTATAAGTTGTGTCGTATATGTCTAAATGAACCTTGTATTCATCCCATGCATGCTTTGGCTCCAGAAACCTTCAGACTACTGATGATCCTCTTTAGGTGAGTGAAGGACACAGGATAAACATTAGAGCAGGTGCATCAGCGATAGAAGTCCCCACAGACGACGGTGTGTCTTTTTTGATGCACTCTGTGTCGCACATTTCAAAGATTGCAAAAAGTATTAGTTAAAGACTGACAGTATTTCCTGTATTTGGTTGATTTGATTTTCTTAATAACCTTTTCTGAACCAAAGTTTCCTGATAGTTTATTTTTTTATGTGTCCAGACTTTCTTTATGTTACATTTTGGATTTTTTTATGACATTTATGAAAAAGTTTGCTAGAGTTTCTGAGTGAATATTTGTTTGTCAAGATATTTCATAAGGTCCCAGATTCATTCCTTTAGGCAGATGTCTGTTCTGAGGGTTAAATTTTATTATTCTTTGAAAAAGACTCACTATTTCTTGAATTATGCTTGTAACATTTTTTCATCCAGCTCTAAATGTTCTTGTGAAAGAGACATATGCAAATCTATTTCATTCAGAGTGGTTTCTAAATTATTTATTTCAGACTGGGATTCTGAACTGCTCAAATGGTTTATTAAGAGGTCGATTATTTCTATTTTTAAGTTGTTTTCTTGAGAAAATAATCAGATTGTGATCTGATAAACCTGTAACCATAATTAAATACTAAATCCATCCATGTTTCATTAGATTTACTTCTCTCACCTGAGACAAGTTATGGCTACTTGTGATTTGTTTTAGTCTTTTACTATTTGATTTATTGAGCCAGTTAATATTAAAATCACCACAAAGTATAACTTTTTTCTCCCAATTGCAGCCTGTAATAATGACCTGTAACTCTTCATAGAGACAATTACATGCTTAGTGTAAATCATTACTCCTCCACCTCTACAAAACTTTCTAACAACATTTTGTAAGCTGGTGAATGGATCACATTTCAGCATAATGGTTCTAATGTTTATATATAATATAAAAGTGTGATTTAATGTTTGAAAAAACTTGCATTTAGAGTACTTCAAAAATGATTTCTTTCCCATAAACTGAGATCTTTAAGCAATGGCAGGTTGAAGGCCAAAGCTTGAATCTGGTTTCCATGTCATGTTAATATAATTTCAAACTTGCTTTATGCTGGACAGAACTCATAGCTCTGTCTTTAAGCTTGCATTTATAGAATGCCTATATTGTTATTGCCCCATTTGTGACTCCACTAAGGGGGCCTTCCCTGCAGATCCACAGTCCCTTACATCCGGCAAACCTCAGGGATCTTCCAAGGTGCCTCTAAACCAGTGGTCTCCAACCTAGCTAAGCTAAATCAAATTACTGATTACCTTTTCAAGCCATTCATTTGATTCAGCTGTGTTGAAGCAGGGATGCATCTAAAATCTGTAGGACAGTAGATCTTGAGGACCAGGGTTGGAGATCACTGCTCTAAACGATTGTTCCCAATATGGCTGCTTGTACTGATCTGCTCCAGGCCCAGGCTCCAGGCCCACTGGCGGAGTACATGGACTCACTGATGCTGCCCTGTGGGACCTCTACACTATGGCTTCTGGGATCGGGCCCCTCAGTGACTAAGGGGTTTGGCTCCTCAGAGGCTGGGCCCCCAGGTGCTCTCCTCTCTGGTGGGTTCAGCTGTCCCTATATCTACCCTCCTTGTGTCCCTGTGATCTGGGAAACTTTGGCTATCTTGTGTTTCGTGTCGCCTCTTTTTCTATCCAGGGCCCTGTAAGGTGAGTCTGTGGCCACCCACACCTGCTATTAAGCATATTTACATTCTAAAGAAGTTTTGAAAATCCTTCATACACAAGTTTGCTTTTGCATAATTACTGCAGGAGTTTGGTTCCAGGTGTTTACAAATACATACTTATAGTAAATATTAATAATAAACCCTAATTGATACTGTGTTATCACCATAAGTTTTGCTTTCCACAGACATATACTGACCGGACATCTAAGGGACGCCCGCTGCCCTTGAGGCTGTTTTGATATTTACTTTGGTTGTCTGTTGTCCTCTTTTAAATGTTGTCATGTTTTCTGTCCCTCTCGTCTCATGCTGGTGCAGAAGCAGACTTCAAAGTGTTGCTGTATATTGTCTGCGTTTTTTTATTTTTGGTGTTATATTTTTATTTATTATTTATATATATTTTATTTATTATTTATATATATTTTCTCTATTCTCATCTGCTCCTCCCCCTATCCTGTCTCTATCTTTCTCACCTCCCTTTCTGTCTCTGTTGCATACGGTTTAAATCCCTAAATCCTTTCAAATAAAGTTTCATAAACAAATAAGAAGCAGAACCTTATGGCAACAACCATAATTGTCTGCTTGTAAAAGCAAATCTATCCCTGGGATTCCCAGACCTGTATTGGCAAAATCGGACACAGACATTTATTTTCTAAATTCCTGTCCAGATTATCAGATTATCAGTATTATGGGATAAATAATTTTGGAACAAACCTTCCCCTCCAGCTTCTGGATGATCTTCTTGCCTCCTTTCAGAGCCATCTGTTCAGCCTCGTCCAGCCTGGTGCTCATATCTTTAATCTGGCCTTCCAGTCCTTTCTTCACTCTCTCCAGGTGAAGTGCGTGCTCCTGCTCCAGACGCAGCTCCTCTCCGACCCGCGCTAGCTGATGGAGCAAAATGTTTCCTTCAAACGTGACCGAAGTTTCTAAAAGGTGTGCAGCAGTATCACACGTGCTGAGCTTTACCTCACAGTTGGCCTTCTTGACCTTATCTGTGCAGCCTCTCAGCTCTGTCTGCAGCTCATCATGCTCCTGCTGCAGAGTCTGGAGATCCACCTCCAGTTTTCTCCTCCCATTTAAAGCTGACTGAAACTGAACTCAGAAAAATATTGATTCAAGATTTCTGATTTCAAGTGTCCAATCAGTGGTAAGGGAACAAAGACTCAGTGCATCACCTGGCTGCTGAGATCCCCGTACTTTTCATTGGCTTCTTGCAGCTCGGTCTCCAGGACTTTCCGGGCCCTCTCTGCGCTCTCAAGGGCTGTGCGAGTCTCCTGGCCTTCGCTGGTCAAGAGAGCACAGCGGCGTTCCAAGGCCGCCTGCTCCTCTCTCTGCTCTTCGTGGCTCCGCACCTCCTCCTCCAACTGACCCTGCAGCTCCTGTAGAAGAACACAACTGGTCAGTCACAACAGACTGACAGTAAGTGTCCTGCAGTAGTATTCATACTCCTTCCTTTTTACATTCTGGAATGTAGAAACAAGAAACCTCAGAAGAAAAAAAAACAGGAATTTAGGCCCAACGTCTCACATCTCGTCACCTCCTCACATCTCAGGGCTGTTTGCTTTGTCTTTGCATGGTTTTTGACAACCTGCTGACAGGAGCTCTTTTATTTACTTCTTACCGTTCTCCCTGTGGAGGCCAAGACTTTAGTTGGAGATTGGCCTGGTTCTGCTGGAGGTTTCTTTCTGTTAAAAGGGAGTTTTCCTCTCCACTGTTGCTACAAGCATGCTTAGTGTGAGGTATTGCCTTTGAGTCAATGAGTCGATGCAATCAACTGGTTTTCCTTAGATAGAAAACTTTGAATCAATTCGACTGAATGATCTGGTGAACTGGGAAGTTTCTTGAAATGACGCTATATAAATAAACTGAATTGAATTGGGTTTCTAGTCCCTTCTTTGCTGCCCTTCCCCAGAGCAACCATGCATCACTGGCTGCTTTTCTGATTAACACTCTTCTTACCTGAGTTACTTTTGTACATATTTGTTTGAAGGAAATGTTGAAACTACAAATCACTTCACCACATTGTGTAAGTCTGTCACATTATATCCAAGTAAAGATTGCTGATTGTTATGATCAATTAGTTCATAACTTGCTATCAATAGTGGACAGCATGCAGCAAGCGGACCTTGATCTGCTGCTGCATCTTCTTGCTGTTCTTGTTGAGCTCTGTATTGTTCTTGGTGAGCAGGTCAACCTGCACCTCCAGCTCGTTAATGTCGGCCTCCAGTTTCTTCCTTAGCTTCAGCGCCTCTGCTCTGCCTTTCAGCTCCACATCCAGGCTGGCCTGCAGAGACTCTAACGCCCTCTGGTGGCTTTTTCTAGGAAGAGGAGAGGGCAAATGAAAGCAATACTAACAGACTCCTTTTAAGAGAATAACTGACAGACAGTTTAGCAGGTTTAGAGAGTATGAACAGCGCTGGTCTTACCTCTAGATTATGCACAGTGAAGTTACGGACCAGCAGCATTAAAAATGTTAACATATAATTAGAGTAATAAGGGAATCCTAGTGTGGAAAGATTTGAAATCCTTAATTGTGTCCTGTATTGCTAACCATACTGTTTATTTATTTATTTCTTATAAGTTTTTTTATTATTATTTGGGCAATAAAGAAAGGAGGAGAAACTGACCTCACAGCTTCAGCCTCCTCCTCTTTCTCTTGCAGTCGGCGCTCCAGGTCTCCTTTAGCCTGAGACAGCTCCAGCTGAAGCCTCAGCACCTTTGTCTCCTCAGCCTGGAAAAAAAACAAAGAAATAGTTGATACTTTAAGCAATGCTGGATGCAAGAGCAGCAGCTAAAAACAGTCATGTCTGGGGAAAAACATACCTCCAAAGCTGCCTCAGACTCCTCTAATGATGCCTGGAGCTCCTCTTTCTCCATCTCAATCTTCTTCTTGGCTTTCTGGAGCTCATGGACGCTCTTACCTCCATCAGACAGCTGGTCTGTCAGGTCAGCTATCTCCTCTGTGAGAAGAACAAAAACCCAAACGTTGCAAATGAGCTTAAAGTCAAAGGAACTGATGATATGGTGTTTTGTTTGCTTTTTCATTGGGTAAAATATGTCAGTGGGAAAGATCTGGGACTCCTGTGGTGAGATTCTTTCAAGGTTTTGAAGTGATTCGTATTCTACCTGTAACAGGTAACTGTATGTCTTTATTTTGAGGCAGAAGCCAACCACTACTGCAAGAAGGGCCAAAAATACAGCATAAATATTAGTATAGAAAACATATGAAGACGGGGAAACATGACCAATGATCTCCTATAGACTGCTTTAGGTTCAGACAGTTACCTAGTAGCTAATTTATTTTTGATATTTTTCAGATAAGAGTCTGGAAACGGTTAAATTCTCTGCTCTGCTTTGACATGACAGCTTCCTCCTGGAACAGCTCATTTGCATTTAAAATGAATAAAGAGGACACTGCTTACAAACTAATTAAAGAAACTCCCAGAGAAAATTCTGAACTCTCCCTTTAAGAAAAAAGGGTATTTTATTTTAACCATCAATATAAGCAATAAGAGCGGTCAGTGTTTTTTTTTTTCTTTGCTTTATAAAACACAATTAACTATTATTTAGTCTAAGTTTTGTCGGTGTAGAAATCAGCTCAGTTTAACATTAAAATCAGAAATTTTAATTTTAAAGTAAAGAAAACAAACCTGCAAAAACAAAAACTTTTTTTCAGTTATGTCAGCAAAATGAAACTTCCTGGAATGACATCTGTAGGAAAATGATCACCTTTATCACACTAGTAAAACAAGGTGGTGGCAGCATCATGGTGGGGGAAACAATGTTATTTAGCATGGATAGAGCTGTGTGAGTCACAATGTGTTTAAACGTATCATCCTTCCATTAGCTGTTGGGTTGCAAGCTAACTTTGATTCAAACTGTAGTTGTAGCAGAGGTGGTTCTAGACAGGGGCCAACAGGGCCCTGTGCCCCTGCAGCCTAGTCCTGGCCCCTTTTATGGCCCCTGTACTGAAAACACCCATAACAAAATTCATGCAATTAGCAGATGCAATTATAAAAAAAAAAAAAAAAAGCTTTTTCAGATCTGTTTTTGCAGTGTAACTACATCAATTTTTAATGATCATATGCGATGAAAGAACAGACTTTTAATGATGTGTAGTAGTTTTAGCTTCACCTGTAATGAGAAATAATCACAGTTTTTATTCATTAGTTCAAGTGTGCAACCTGGCCTTAATGGCTCATTTATAATATTAAACACTCTCGGTCTAGATTTTTTTGTGTTATTCTTTAGTTCTAACTCCCCCCCCCCAAAAAAAAAACATCAGCCCATCATGCTCCCCTGATATAGTTCGTCTAGAACCACCACTGAGTGGTAGGATCTTCTACAGCTATAGAGTAAAACATCCGAGACCCATAAAACTATAATAAAAAATCTGACCACGAATTCTAATATTTTAAGAACAAAGAGCATCCTTCTCACCCTGGAATGCTTTATTCTCCCTGCGCACAGCCTCCAGCTGCTCCAGACACTCTTCATGAGCCGTTTTAACCTTAAAGAGCTCTGCGGCGTGTTGCTTGCTCTCCTTCTGGCAGCCCTCCACCTCGGCCACCACCTCCTCACACTTCTGCTTCCAGTCCCCGAGCTGCTTCTCCAGAACTCGCTGCTTCTTGTCCAGCGCCTGACCACAGCTGCTGGCCTGAGGTGAGTAACAAGCTTTGACTGCACTGAAAAGGTCCGATGCAGTAGGTAACACGTTTTCCTAATGGTGGAGTTTTTTTTACCTTCTCCAGGTCCATGCAAAGCTCCTCCACTTCTCCCTGCAGCCTCTGCTTTGTTTTTTCTAGTGAGGAGCATTTTGCCTGGGTGGCCTCCACAGCCTCCTCTGCCTCCTGAAGCCTGGCTAGAAGCTTCTTCCTGCGATAAACTCAGATTATTGTGGATGATAGATTACAGAATCCATGCAAAGCATCAAAGTGTGTCAGATAAGGTGAACTCATCCAGTATCAGCATAACACACTTGGTCTCTTCCAGCTCATCTGCATGCTGGATGGCGTCGGCCTCGTATTTAGTCCTCCAATGCGTCACTTCACTGTTGAGTTTGGAGACGAGGCGCTGCATCTCCTGCTTGCTCTCCTGCTCCTCCTCCAGCTGCTCCCTCAGCACCTCACACTCCTGCCGCGCTGAGCTCAGGCTGCTGCCCACCGCCTGCTTAGCCTGGCATCAGCAGCAGATGCCGAAGTTATTAGACATTTGCTTCAATCCATTTTTGGTTCCATCTCTGAACGTACCTTCAGCTCCTCATCCAGCTGCTTCTTCAGCTCCTCCAGCTGCGTCTGGAGCAAATTCTTGGAGCGGGTCAGCTGGCTTACTTTGCTCTCTGCCTCCTCCATCTGTCGGCTCACATCGGCATTATCAGCTGCCGGGAAACAATAACGACTATTTACTATGGTTAATTCAACAATAACTCAAAAGACCCAATTCCTAAAAAATATATTTCAGAGAATTCAGTCATCCAGGTCATTCCAAAAAAGCAAAAAACAAACCAATCCACTGGACTTTTGTTTCCAAGTTTGAAGACGTTTCGCTTCCCATCCAGGAAGCTTTTTCAAATCAAAATGTCTGAAATGGCGTTGAGTTCGAGGCTTTATAGAGTGGAGAAAAAACAAAACCTTATTTTGGCTTAGAAAACATGCAAATTGAACCGGATGAATGGGTCCGCCCCTTTGGAATGGGGGTCGTTTGGCTTCTTTGTTAGCCTGCAATAACCCATACCTGTCTATGTCTCTGAAAGGTTTTTTTAAAGGGAATTGTTTCCCTGGCTGAACAGACGAGGCGTTCTGTTCCACTGTAAGGGGGTGAGGGTTACGATGATAGCGGGATGGACTCAACTCAATTTATTAAATTTGAATCCACCCCCTCTGTTTTTTTTTTCTTTCTTAACATAGATGGCTTCCTTCATGCCCCTCTCAAACCACCTATCTTCTTTGTCCAGATAGGTGGTCTGAACTCAGCACTATTTCTGACATTTGGATTGAAAAAGCTTCCTGCGTGGGAAGTGAAATGTCTTCAAACTCGGAAACAAAGTCAAGTGGATTTTTTTAAAACTCTTTTAGAACCCTTAAATTTTTTCCTTCTTTGCCCTTTCATTACCACAAGTTTCAGTTTGATATTTTTGGGATTTTTTTGTGATTCACAAACAAAATCTAGTGTTGTTTATGATGATGAAAATGATGAAATGGGATGTGTTTTTTCACTGTAGAAATCTGAGAGGTCTGATGTGGGTTTGGATTCAATGTGTCGCCTTTCACTCATTTATAGGTGACAGTCTCATGGGGCAGGTCTTTGCCAGTTTGAAACATTTAATAACTAATGTTTCATTCCAAACCTCAGATTGAATTTATATTTATCAGAACTTTGACCTGACCAGGGGTTTGCATAATGACTCAGACAGCCTCAGTGTACCTAGAAGTCTGGTCTTTGTCACATTGAGCTCAGACAGCGTCCTCTGCAGCTCGTCTCCTCTCCTGTTGGCCTCAGAAAGCTGCTCCTCTAACTTCTTTACCTGGCTGTCTGATGACATCTGCATCACAAAACAGACACACTCATGTTTAATTAAAATAGCAGAGTAGTCTTGTTGCTTGCTCTGCTAACTTTCTGACCTTGGCTTTTTGCAGGCTGTCCACTGATGCAGACAGGTCATCCATCTCCATCCTCAGGTTCTGTTTCTCCTTCTCCAGTTTGACCCTGGTCCGCTGCAGAGCTTCACACTGCTCGCTCAGCTCTGACACCACCTCGCCGTGCCGCTTGCGCAGAGAAGCAGCGATCGATTCGGATTGAAGAGAGGACTCATCCAGCTCCCGCCTTAGACGATGGAGTTCGGCCTCCCGCTTCTTGTTCACCTCCATCTGTTTGTCACACAGATTGCAAATGTTTTGCCCCTTCTTCCCAAAAATGTACTTCACTTTTTCATATTGTGGAGCAACCATGAGCCTCTGTGTTTGTTACCGGGATTTTTTTGTGATAGACAAACACAAAACAATGCTCAGTTGTGAAGTGAAGGAAATTATGCATAGTCTTGATAAAATAACTACTTTGACTTTAAATTAGATAACTGCTATAGCTATTTTTGCTATAATTCTTTACCACATTAGCATATCTCAAAACTGAATTCCTATTCTTCTCATCTTTGGTCGGTTTTCTACAGTAGGGTGAATCTCTTCCACATTCTTGGGTCTTTATCAGGTTTTCTTCCATGACTGTTCTGTGTTGGAGTTCTGCCCAGTTTCAATTGAAATCTCTTAGCTTTCCTGCCTGTGGAATCAAATGATGTCCTCAGTATGTCAATTCAGAATGATACACCGTGTTGGTTTGCATATGCCATAAGGATGCAGGCTAAAATGTTTTTTGTCTGACCTTCTTCCACATGTTTGCATAACCAAAATTGCTTTTAGCAAACCACTACTGTACTTCATATGGCTTTTTTGAAATGAAAATCAGCGCTATCTGCCAACATCCCGTGCACAAAGAAGGAACTCGACTGTATGTTTATGTACGTGTATGTTCAACAAATTCTCTATATAAAAAACACCCAACAAAGGCAGGTTGTGATATTGCAATGTGATAGAAAACTCTGAATCAATTTGACTGGATGATCTGGTGAACTGTGAAGTGCCTTGAGATGACATGTGTTGTGAATTGGAGCTATAGAAATAACTGAATTGAATTAATCTATCCCTGTTACAGGGATATATACCTCATGTCTTACTTAAGAAACCATTTATTGACCTATTGTAAATGATTTGGTCAAAATAGACCTATTTCTAATCAGCCTTTCTTATCTAAAATTAATGAGAAAATTGTTGCTAAACAAGCACTAAGCTCTGGTTAAAGTCACTAATGATATTCTCATGGCATCAGATAATGGATTTGTATCTGTACTTTTCCTGTTAGATATCAGTGCTGCATTTGATACAGTCAATCATAATATTCTCTTAGAAAGACTTGAATATTATTGTAGATTAAAGGAACAGCACTAGACTGGTTTGAATCTTATTTATTGGACAGATTTCAGTTTTTTCATTTTAATGATAAATCTAACCTCAAGCTCCGGGTTAAAAACAGGAGTGGAGTACCACAGGGATCAGTGCTAGGGACATTTGTTTTTACTATATATATGCTCCCAATCAGTAGAATTATTATAAAACATGGGATACATTTTCATTGTTATGCTGATGATATTCTGCTATACCTGTCTATAAATCCAGATAAGGTTACTCATTACATAGATTACAGGCATGTCTTAAAGACATAAAAACCTGGACGACTCTTAACTTTCTCCTTCTGAATGCAGACAATCAGAAGTTATAGTCTTTGAAAAAGAAGCTGTTCAGTCAGTCATTTCATTTGGATGGGATTAAACTGATCTCAGATAATAAAGTACAAGATCTTGGTGCTATTTCTGATCATGGACTATTATTTAGATACCATATCAAAGAGAATGTCCTTTCATCTGCGGAATATTGCAAAAAATTAGAAATATCTTTTCCAGTGAAGGTGCTAAGAAACTAAGCCATGCATTTGTTACTTCAAGGCTGGACTATTGTAATTCTTAACTGTCAGGAAGTCCACAAACTGTAATCAAAAGCCTTCTAATGATCCAAAATGCTGCAGCCAGAGTTCTGATGAAAATTAAAAAGAGAGATCATATCTCTCCTATCCTGGCTTCTCTTCATTGGCTTCCTGTTAAATACAGAATATAATTTAAAATCCTCTTTCTCACTTATAAAGCCTTAAATGGCCAAGCTCCATCTGATATCAGAGATCTGATTGTTCCTTATGTTCCTAACAGAGCACTTTTTTGTCAATCTTCAGGTTTACTAGTGGTTCCTAGAATTTCTAAAAGTAGAATGTGAGGCAGATCTTTTAGTTATCAGGCTCCTCTCCTGTGGAACCAACTACCAGTTTAGTCTGTGAGGCAGACACCCTGTCTACTTTTAAGGCTAGGCTTAAAACTTTCCTTTTTGATAAAGCTTACAGTTAAAAACAGTGTGATATTTGCTTAGTTGCTGGGTGAGTAGAGAGGTAGGTGGAGGATCCGGTGGGAGAGAATTTCAGTCTAGACAGACGTTTCTACCTTTCCCATGTGTCCTCCAAAAATAGTTAGGCAAGCCTGATCTATTTTATGCATTTGTGCTGCTATATGATTTGGTTGCTGAATCACATAGGGGTCACTTTCCTCATCCTGCTTCATTCTGTCCCTATTCTCCCTTTCTGCAATATTTGTTAAGTTCTACTCATAACTTTATGCTCTCCCTGCTTTTCCTCATCATAGTAGCTTCATCTGGTCTGTTCATGTTTGATTGTGACTCCATCCTGAATTGAAATATCAGCTGTGCTGCTGCCATCGATATCTTTGCTTATAGATATTGGAGCTTGGCCTGTTTTCAGTGTAGTCCTGTTTCTTTTACTGTGAATAGCTAAATTGGCTTGGAGCTCATCTGCCTAGCTGTGTGTTCGTGGATGGGGATTTGTGGAGCTGATTGAAAGTGACCTTTTGAATATCTGCTACATTTGGTATGTCTGCTTCTGTCTCCTTGAACCCCTGTCAGCTTCGGCAGATGGCCATTCAACATGAGCCTGATTCTGCTGGAGGTTTCTTCCTGTTAAAAGGGAGTGTGTTGAATGCTGAAGATTCAAAGACAAAATGCAGGCAAAGGTCGTCACTGCAGCTCATCTAGGAGAAGGATGTCTTGCAAGTCAATGGTTGCAACTGATTTTCCTAACCGTTCTGAAAGTATTGTCTCTGTAAAGTTTCTTAAGATGACGTGTTCCGATTTGCCGCTAAGTTAATGAAATTGGTTTCTTCCCTGCTCATTCAGGTCCCCACTGTTGTAAGCTCCTGTTTTGATCCGATGCTGCTCACACCTATGGGCAACCATGTTTTTTTTCTTTTTTTTTTTTTTTTTGGTAAATGTACAAAAGGTCTTGGTTCACACACATATGTCTCATAAAATTATGCATGATGTCACAGTTTCAGCTAGTTTTCCTGGTCAGCAGCTGCAGCTTCCTGCGCTGTCAAAGCAGGTCTGTAACATTTCTTTTGACTCATTAGTCCACTTCATAACAGTTAATCTTGCTTTACCCAGTCTAGGTGGATGTTCCTGTTTTAGTCTGGACTTGTCATCTTCCAAATAAACAATACTCTGTGAGAAAATAAAAACATACCTTTTTCTACTATAAATCTGCTTAAAATGTTACCACAACTGACTCGTCTTTGGTCATCATGTTGCATCTTATGCTCTCTAATAAACCTTCAAAAACAGTTGAATCATATTTTAATAGAAACTAACCTGTTTTCTTATCAAACACATCTGAATTATTTTCGCTCTATCAGAGTAAACAGGGTGAGCTTTTAATATGTTCTTTATGATGTTTTTCTTCTCTCAACTCCATACACAGCTTTAAAAGCTTCAAGTTTTTAACAGTAATGAAAAAAAATGTGAAAAGGTTGAAGAGGTATGAAGCAAAACAATCATCGTGACTATCCTGTGAGGTACAAGAACATTTTTTGAGAAGGTCCTACTTAGTATGGGTCTGTCTGCGGCATACCTGTGAAGCTGTGACCCCTCCCGCCTCCTCAAGCCGGTCAGTGAGTTCATCGAGTTCTCTGGTTAAATCTGCTCTCTGCTTCTCCACCTGTAAAACACATTCCAGCTAAATCTTCAGGATTATAATTATAGATATAGAGTATAATTATATAAATACAAATTAATGAGTAGAGGTTCTACTTTGAATCAGATCAACTGCAAAACCAACTCATCAGTTTTGGACCCTGAATCAGTCCCTCCTTACTGAAAAGGATCTCTAACCTGTAGGGGACCAACATGATCGACAGCTCTCAGAAGGAAGTTCTATTTCCTGAGGTCAAAGGTCAGTAGAGTGGAATCCAATCAGAGCGATGCAGGGGGTTCGCTGCTGACAGGCAGCACAAATATGCTCCTCAAGCTGATGATGTTAACTGATCCTTTATGTTTTTTATTACTGAAATTCTTCTTTAACAATATTCCACTAGAAACCATGGATCTTTTTGTCGGCTCCTTTATATGTCAGCAGAGTCCCCAGACAAACAACACCTTGCATGAGATAACATTGATGTATTAGACTGTTAAATTGTGCTTCCCAATCAAATATTATCCATAATGGATAAAAAGAGCATATTATTTATATTTTAAATGCTATTGCTTATTTGCTATTTTTTGCTAAAGTTCCAGACACTAAACATTTCCAGCTTTAGATAAAAAAAACTTTATCAAACACAATCCCAAAAAATTTTAATTTATCACCATGGTGACAATGCAGTGGGTATAAACATCACATGAGAGATTGTTACCTTGTTAGTTAAATGTTAACATCCAATCATGATGAGCAAACACAAAACAGGCTTATATTGAATGGCAACTGGACTTTCTTTCACTTTTTGAAGACATTTCAACACTTATTCAGGAGTCTTTGTCAAATCTGCTGGCTTGTAGCAGACTCTAGGAGTCCAAAAAAAAAAAAACTTCTAGAAAGGTGTTGAAATGTCTTTGAAAACTGAGCAAAAGTCTGGTTGCCTTCCAATTTAACCCTGTTTTGTGGTTGCCCTGACCCTGATGACTAAGAATTTACACAGGTATGCTGCAGCAGCATAATTGGATGTAATTATGGGTATATATAAAAAAAAAAAAAACTAAGCCTTGTGTGTCTGAGGTGGAATAATTATTATAAACATAAAAATACTGGAGCAGATGACTTGATAATGAGCCAAGGCTTATCAACCTGATTGATTGTGGTGATGATGATTTCACCAGGTAGTGCATCATAATGACTAAACCAAGTGTCTTAATTTCATAACTGTTGAAAATTTAGCTTAACAACTCTTGATCCCAAAATAACTCAAATAACCAAAAGACTTCTGGATTTTTGAGAACAACACAGAGACCTTATAGTGAGGACCCTAGTAGGTGTGTTTGTTTGTCAGTTGTTGTGTTGAACAGGTCCTCTTCCTTTATTTTCCCAGCTTTCAGTTTTTTAAGGGATTCTAGTTTCTCATTTGCCTTTTACTAAAATATAGCAAAAAACATTTTGCACCAATATGTCCATAAAGAATGAGATCAAATTCCCCTCATTCTTGTGCTTATTTTCATCCCTAACCCACAGTTAGCTTCTTTTCTTATATTTTCGGGGAGAAAACATACGTATCATAATGTTAGTTTACAGTCATATTCAATAAATAAGACTATTGAATAGGCTATATGAAATAGCTAGTTTATTTATATAGCAGCTATCTCTATAGTTACGCTGCTATAGGCTTAGACTTTTGGAGGACACAGGGACCCCTATTTCATCATTCCGCTTCATTCTCTCTCTATTCCCCCACTCTGCAGAATCTGTTAGTTCAATCTCTAACGTTCTGCTCTCTCTGCTTTTTCTTATAGTAGCTTCGCCTCGTCTTTTCCTGTTTGGCTGACACCATCCTGGAGAGAAATATCAGCTTTGTTTATAGATGTTCGAGATCGGCCTATTTTTCCAGTGTAGTCCTGTTTCTCTCACTGTGACTGGCTGGATGTGCTCTCTTCATCCTCCGACATGGGAGCTGGCTCAGGGCTCGTCTGCCTGGCTGTGTGTTTCCTGGATGAGCCGCCTTTTAAAGCTGCCTTTTTGTATGTCTGCTTCTGTCTCCTTGAACCCCAGTTGGCCTCGGCAGATGGCCGCTCACACTGAGCCTGGTTTTCCTGGATGTTCCTTCCTGTTAAAACTGAGTTTTTCCTCTCCACTATCGCCACAAGCAAGCTTAGTGTGAGGGATTGCCTTTCGAGTCAATGAGTCGATGCAATCAACTGGTTTTCCTTATATAGAAAACTTTGAAACAATATGACTGTATGATCTGTTGAAATGTTAAGTGCCTTGAGATGACGTGTTGTGAATTGGTGCTATAGAAATAAACTGAATTGATTTGAATTCCCATTATTCAATTCTATTCAAATTCTTTATGTTAAGTATAACGATTTTCCGCTATACACAAATTAATTAATTATTTAATATTGTAATATTACATCAGACCAATACAAAAATATTGTAATATAGAAGAAAGGACCAATTAAATGCTTAATACCTACTTAAAAGATAGTTTAAATCTGATGAACAAGGCTCATGCATATTCAGTTTAAGATCAGTTACGAATGTATTATATTATTCAAGACCCCATGTCTCACTTCGAGATTAATCAGTCAACACGGATAAGATAAAATGACTTTTAGTGCTTTGTTATTATTACATGTTGCAGGCATATAAACTTAAAAATGTTTTGCACTACACTTTTAAAATGTACAGTCTTTCCATATCTCTAATGTTATGTTAATAATGCTTTCTGCATTATACTACTGCTTTTTAACCCTATTAATGGAGTGCACATGTCATGTTAAAAGAGTTAATGCACTTTTATGGGCAGAACAAACAGCACTTGTTGTTTTTACAGCCTTCTTTTACAGCTGGTTTAAAGACAGCCGTACATGTTGAGATTAGTTCACAAAAAGCTGAAAGTCCCGAGCCCCCCAGGACCGCAGAAATGAGCCACAGCCATCGACACACCTCTGACAGAGCGAGGCAAAACAGATGACTCTCACTGGGGGCCTTTACTATAACCCCACTGCCCCCAGCTGAATATCCTTAAAAACGCACCAGCCCACCTGTGTCGAGGAGCCCCACCCACTCTTTGTTTAGGCCTAGCGCCAAATGATTGACTCATTCATTGCTCTCTCTCTCTCTCCTGCACTGAGTCAACATCCCCACAGCATCAACACCATCGGACATGCTCCCTTCATTAATCGGCTCCAAGGAACCCCCCCAGAGCCTTGCTGCCAGAGATGGGAGATTCCTCTCCTTTTGCAAAAGAGCATGAAGGAGTAGTTTATCTCTGTGCATACAAACCGAGGTGTGTTTGCACAAAAGCTTTGCTGTACTAATCCATCCTCCTGCCCCCAAAGCAACAAAAACTTTAAAGATATCTGTTGGTGTGTTCCTTTCGGCCTTACTAAAACAGCATAAGGTTCACAAAAGTAAAACAAGTAATAAGACAAATCCCAGGCAGATCTAATGATATTACATTAATGTTAATATGTTAAAATAACCATTTTGTTTTGATATAAACACAGGCTTCTTTTAAAAGATCCATTTGTATTTTTATATTAGTACTAGTTTTTGACAGATATACTGCCGCAGTTTCTAGAAACGTTTGGCAATCTAGTCATATTTGGGTAAAAAAAACCAAACAGCAACCAACAAATTCAATCAGGAAATGTTTATACCTAAGGGATAAAAATTATATTTAAGTAAGAATTAATAATCTTAACTTTCCCAAAATACTTTATCAGGATCTAAACCTTAGTTTTACTTTGAAATGCTATGGTTACTGGATCTGTTTTTCCCACCAAGTCAACAAATCATCAGATTATCAGAAGTTTCTGTAGCTGGATTAACTGTAGTAACTGTACATAGTTCATCTGATTTGCTATTAGCCTCCCAAAGTTTGCTCACTGCAGTACAACTTCTTGCTTGCCTTGCATGTTTAAAAGGTAAGGGAAGGGGTAAAAGCCCTTGTGAAAGAATAATAAATTGTGAATGGATTTCTCTCTTTCAAGTTTTTGGAGAGTGTCTGTTATTTGATTTTTGTAGATTTTTATTGAAGCTTTGCAGGTGTTACTGTCCATTAGCAGATGCAATATTTCAGACTTCCCAATTTCCCCCATTTTTTAAACTATATAGAGGTGATGGAGGGCAGAGCACTCAGCACATACAAGGGAACACAACCAACTCACTGGTTCAGATACGTGGAAGAAACAAACACAGGAATATGAGGCATTTACCAATCACATCAACTCAGTGGACAGAAATATCAACTTCAGTAGTGCGGAAGCTAAGAGAAACATGGATCTCAAGAAACAAATTACATTTACATTAATTGTATCGTGAATCAGAAGAACAATCACAGTGCATGCACAACAAAAGACTCCAACAATCAAAAACAACAAGTGTGGCAATTTGATCTGCATCTGACTTGGAAAGCGCTGAGGAGGTTATTCCTCAATGCTGCTTAAATAAATAAGCGCTACAACTACAGGTCACTCTGGTGCGAGCAAACAATATTAGCAAAGACTCCTGGATCTGTGTTGAAAAGTCTTTAAAAAAATTAGCGAAAGTCTGGTTGCCTTCCAATTCAAGCCTGTTTGTGGTTGTCAAGACCCAGATGACTGAGAATTTACCCAGGCATCAAAATATCAAATATGATTAAGTTATTAACTGATTGCATTCTCTTAAAAACATTAATCTTAACTAGTGTTGCACCAATACCAGTATTCGGTGGGGCCCCAATCCAGCACGGAAATTATGGTATCGGTATCGGCGAGTACAAACAAATAGGGCACTGACACCATTCTGAGAGCCAAAAGTTTATTCAACTATTGCCACCCATTCCAGGTAGGCAATAAAAAAGTTCTACTGGATTCACTTTGTTTTAGTCTTTTTCCTGCTTCACAAAGGTAGGCAGCAGCTTGACAAAGCCATGATGGCAATTATTTTACATCCAAGTAGTATGCAGTTCTTCATACAGACATCAATTTCAAACAGATTGTATCGATATCAGCCAATGTTGCACAGCCAGGTATCAGGGCGCAAAACACTAATTAATCCCTAATCCCTAATTAAGTTATTACCTGATTGCATTCTCTTAAAAAAATATATCTTAAGCAACCTACAGTAGATGTTTTGCATTGTATGAATGAGACCAGCAGTAAAAGAATGTTAAAATGCAATTATATGTTTGTAAGAGACATAAATGTTAGAGTGTGCATGTTTCTCATGATAGGAAAACCCATTCACTGCACAAACACTTATAACTTATGTGTGTATGAGACTAGCCGGCATTCTAGCTGGGAGAAGATCCACTGGAGAAAGCTGCAGCGCTGCGGTCCAGGATCTCCTGATGCTATCAGGCTGAGTGTGACCTGAGGAGCAGGACCTAACAATGGCGAGCCTGTCTGCAGCCGAGGTATGTTGTAATTGAGCTGCTCTGAAGACGGAGGCTGCGGAATAGATAAAGACCTGCATGCCCCCGCCTGCCTTCCGCTCCGCTCTGCAGCTTTCCGAGGCTGGAGGGCTCCCAGCTAGAACCATTGAGAGTATACCACCCAGAGTTAGTAGAAGTGTGGAAAACACACCCTCAGGTCTGCTGTCACTCCATTCAAGCACTGCAGTGAAATATGTGCCCTTACCTACTGTATGAGGGCTTAAACACACAAAGGATTCAAGAATGTATTGTCTGAACTAACAGGCACTTGAAGCACCTCGGTAGGTTAGGCTTATATGAAGACTTACACAAAGAGGACGTGTTGGACACTTAGTTGTGGTGAAGTAGATGGTCATGGTTTTGTTTATTTGGCTGAAGGAGCAATGTTTGGGGATTCCATGGCAGGACATCGTCTAGGGTGTGCAGGTGGAACAGTGGTTAGTTAGCACAACCCATGTATGGAGGCCTTAGTCCTAGACGTGACCGACCTGGGTTCGAATCTGACTTGTGGTTCTTTGCCACATGTGTCTCCCGCTCTCATACCCCCTTTCCTGTCAGTCTACTGTGGCAAAAACGAGCCACTAATGCCATAAAAAAAAACATGGTCTCTCTTGTTTGATAGGGAAATCATTCTGAGGAAAATGCCCGTATGAGCTCCCTCTGCCATTTTAATCAAAAACACAAGGTTTGTACCAAACTGGATTGTTATCACAGGTGCAGATAATTTGGTGACCGGACCCAAGGAGCAGCACATGAACCTGTTGGCAACATGGTTTTCACTTCTCCTCTTTCTAACAGTTTCTCTCTGATCCCCAAGCTGATGTCAACCTCATTAGCCTGACTGTTAGAGCAGAGGTCAACAGAACCCAGAGCTGTTTGCTTCTCCAGTATGTCAGATTTAATGCCCTTTTCATTTTTTTTAGCATTTAGAGCAGAAAAAAGCAGCACAGAAGCAGATAGTTTATCTTTTTCGATACCTTAGCTCTCATTGCTCGTTCTGCTTCCAGCTCCTCCTCCAGCTCCTCGATCCGAGCCTAAAGAGACACATAGAGATCTAACATGAGCTGAACATGAAACAAAAACCTCTTCCTGACCTGTAAAGTATGACACAAATATTATAACACGGTTTCACTCAGACGGCGTCATTATAACAATAGAAATACTGTTTTCTATTTCAGACCAGCACTTCCATGTCTCATGCACATTGCTTTCTGCAGAGCTTTGGCACACCCCTGGATTTTTTTCCTCAGGTAGCAATTTGGAAAAAGAATGTCCAGCAGCCACCAGTGATTATCCTCAGTGTAAAGCTGTGTTTGGTCACTGAGACCAAAGAAAAACATGGATGCTTTTTGAGTCTGACATTCGAAGAATTTGGCTCGCAATTTTGTGTTACATTTTTCAAAAAAATAACACCAAACAGCTAGACAAATGTACTTATAGGGCAAATATGATAACAGTAAACATAAGTTATCAACTCCTAAAATATATTTAGAATAATTTCTTAGAACCAAATTGTCCCATTCTAATCCCAGCTGTTTAGGACTATTTAGGAACTATTTAGGCTTAGGAACAAGATCAAGAGATTTTTAATCCCCAGACTTTGGTTTGATTTACAGCTCTTGTAAATTTATTAAGACAACAACATCAGCAGAAAAAAATGCTATAAAAGGATAAAAGTGACATTTTTATTATTTTTTCACATATAAAAGCATAAGATCTTGTGTCATTTAATGTAAGATGATATTTTCTCATAGATCTGAGTTAATAAATTATGTTTTTAATGGGGAAATGTTATCATTTAATGACTAAAAAGGGGAGTAAATTTGAAAAAACAAAACAAAACAACAACTAATAATTCATTTAAAATTAATATTTTCTTGAAATCTTCAGATATAAGATCAATATAGATTTTAAAATATGAAATAAATTTATTTAGTTTACATACTGACATTAAATTTTTATTCTTTGCAGTCTACTGTAGATGGGTTCTTGCGTCGATTTGTTCTTGTATATAAAGTAAAGAGGAAAGTAGGCTTTTTTTCTGAAGCTCTAATGAAGAGCTGAACTTAGACTGGTTAATCAACACTATTAGGGTGGAAATACTTGCAGGCATAAACAAACTTCAGCAGCAAATAAAAATTACAGACACAAGGAAAGGGAGCCGTTTTAGGTCTCATTGACTCTCCCATCACCCAACCTGAGCATGCATGCAGTGACGGTGGAGAGGAAAACTCCCTTTTAACAGGAAGAAACCTCCAGGAGAACCAGCTCAGTGTGAGCGGCCATCTTCCGAGGCCGACTGGGGTTCAAGGAGATGGAAGCAGATATAGAGATATTGACATAAATTAAATAAGTTCTTTGGCGCTTGGGCCCCGGCAAAAGACTTTGATGCTGTGAATCAACATTTGCTTGAATGAGTAACCTAAAAAACAATTAGATTAGTGGCTCGGACACTGGTGAAGGAATAAACCAGAGGGTGAGTGGGACAGAGAATGATCTGAGAGATATAGGAGATGGGGTAGAGGTGGATGAAAGTTCGCTTGCATGTGGGAGAGAGAAGATGGGCCAGAAGCTTAATGAGGGGGATCTTCAAAGATCATTGGCTTCAGAGAAGGTGCGCCCCCTGGAGTTGATTGGCTGGAGCTAAGCAGGGGACATCATAAAGGTGAAGCTGAGTCTGCTTGATTGAATTTTCAATTAAGCTTCATTAACCTCTCACATCCTTGTAGAGGGACTTTTTAACCAATATTACTTTAGCTCACTGAAGTTCAAAAACCTTTGCTTCTGCACAGCAGGATTCCATTCTGTAAAGCAACGCTTTGATTCTCGCACTGCAAAAACTGGTCTAAATAAAGGCCAAAACTTTTTTACATAAGGTTATTTGCACTTAATCTCAGCAGGAAATACGATGATCAGCCATGGATTGAGTCATTTTGTGCGTAAAAAAAGAAAAAGAAATCATATATAATGCTCTTGAAATAAAATTATTTTAAACTTATATTATTTAAGCAAATGGCTTTATAGCAAAATGTCTTACTTATTGACTTATTTAAATTTATTTCAGAAGAAATAGACTTTTTTGGGGTTTTTTTTGGCAGCATGCATGGCCTAATGTCCTTGCATTAAACTTTAGTATACGGTGGTAGACCATTACTATATGCTGTCCACACCATGCTGTACAGCTAGCATACAGTTCCTATAAGCTTTACATGTTTATTTTGGTCTCATATGCAACTTCAAATACTACTAAAAAAAAAGAAACAATAATTTTCTCTTGCAATCCCACAGAAAAACTAAAACTAAATTTGTTAAGGTTTTGAATTGTCCTGTGATACACTTTGAAATGTAACTTGATGTCTAAGGTCTGAAACAAGATAGAACTCTGGGATTTTTTGTCATTTTCATGATTTCATCTCAGAAATGACGTTAAACATGGAATATGGAACCTCATAGTGTTTTTAACCCTATAATCTTTTAACTTAATATCAGATTTAGTGCTAGGACCAGTTGCCTCTCTAAGGACATTTTTTATTTATTTTCTCCTTGACATTCAACACAATGCAGACACCTGTATCAGTCTAGTGAAGGGTCAAATTCTTTTATTTGGTTAAACAAAGAAACTAAAATTACTTATAATTACTATATCATTCAAACTGCTGCATGACAATGACCTGTAGAGAACCTGTAATTTTACAAAAAAAAATATGGATTACAATTTCCTATGTTACAATCAAAAAGCAATTTTAGCTTGACACAGAAAAAAACTGAAATCCTACTTAGAAAAGGTTTAATAGTATATTCCATTGAAAACAATTGGGTTAACTGATGGCAACTGTCTCTTCAGTGAATGCATTAATATTTTTTTAACAGAGATGCTAAAGTGTTTTTTTTCTCCTCTCACCATAAAAAACAATTAAAATGCTTTTCCATAAATAAATCACTTGCTTCACATTTCTGCTGCACTTATCTCCTGCCAAAGCTGTTTTCTTCTGCTGAGGAATATTTATTGCCCCCTCCAATGCGCGGCTACAGCCTACCGTGTTGTGTCATGTTCACTGTTATCTTTAGTTTCTATCTCCGTCTCGGTGTCAGGAAGTTGTGTCTGACATGGCGTTTAGCCCAGGGCCGCTCGCAGCAACAACACACCCGCACCTCACTGATGGTGGTGAAAGCTGCTTGTCGGCTATTCTCCACAGAAACCTCCAAAGTGCCAAACGCTCCAGACTCTGACAGATAACCATTTAGTACCATGTTTAATCCAGCAAAACATTTTTATTCCCAACCATCACTCATATGTAGCAACTCATCCTTTGCATAATTAAAAGTAAAGTTCATGTAGACTCGAATAAATATATAACTTACATGCCAACGGAGGACCTCTGCAGAGAGAACAGCCATGGTGAGGCAGCAGCAGCCCAAATGACTGACTGAATGAGAGACTGACTGTCCAAAACATGTGCACGCACACACACAGTCACACACCTTAGCGCTGATCCCCTCCGGCATGTTACTTTCCACACCCCCTTATGCATGCACAGCTTCTCTCCGTCTTCCTGACGGTTCCCCTCTTGTGTATCTGGTTCTCATTAAATTCCCACCTTCCACTGCCTTAAAAATAAATCGAATGATCCAGAAACAATAGTAAAGGACATGTAGAGTACTAACATTTGCCACGGGGGCTCTACATAAAGCTTAACTCCTGTCTAAATGATTGCTTACTTCTCTCTCTGCTCAGGACCAATCTTAAAGAAATTTAGTGGAGATAACATCATGAAGTCAAAGTTTCTCAATTCGGTTACAGGGTTTAATCTCCAAATTTGCATGAGCTGTTTTTAAACCTGAATCAGATGTGGCCTTAGTGTTGATTTTTCCTCACTAGGGTCAGAGGGGATGTGCAACAGCGTGGGTTGCTTCCTGTACGACCATTTCTCAATAGAAAAATCAAAAAGCCCTGCCTGCTCACCAGAGAAAACATCTCAGACTCAATGCTCTTGTAAACTATTCAAGTTAAAACACGGTAATTTATGTCCCTGCAACGACACATGACCCTACATGTTTGTTCTTTAGGATGTCTTCAGACGTTTAGAAACCCAGCAGTAAAAGTGGTGTCTGATTGATTTGACTTGGAACATGATGACAGGCAGTGTGCACCTGGTCAAAGCCACATAATGCAGGTAATGAAACAGGTAAGGCCAGAAGAATCCAGAGACAAAGTCTGCTGTGGATGCATAGGATAGAGTCTATAAAAGCATATCTCAGGTGTGTTTTTACACAAAATACAGCTAAATTAAGGAAAATAAGAAGAAACTCTGCAGCATGCACCCAATCAGTGCTTATAAATATGAAATAAAGTTAGCAGTACATGATAGCATCGCCATTTTTATCCAATTTTACCTTGTTATGCATTCCTCTACATCAAACAGATACATAGAAAAGGAGGGGCTGTATGTTTCTGTGTCAGGAAAAGTATTTATTATTCCCAAACCGCATTAACATGTGGCACAATATAAGCATCTTGAGCTGAACATCTGAACCTAAATGAGCCCTATCTTTCCAGACAGAGATGACCCCACAGCACTGAGACTGGTGGTAACTGCTTTACAGCGCTATAATAAAACCTTTTAAAGAGCCAGGGAATGAGGCATGCAGGCCTCCCTTCAAGCCAACTGCTTTGAATTATGGAATGAAGAGGCGGCTTCATTTTTCATGACAAAGCGTTCTCTTTAAATCAAGGCAAGTCTGTAGATGCAGTTGTGTGACCATTACGTCAAAGGATGACAGACAACAGTGGGCAGGAGATACTTCAATGGCCCACCCACCTCCATCTTTATGATCATTGTTCTAAACCCAAACAACAGCAATAGACAGAACAGCGCTATGTAGACCACTGACAAATAAATGCTTTTAGACATGTGTGATACCATCTGGATGCCAGTGGAAGATGTACGTAAAAGTTTCAGGAAAAAAAATGAGAAAAGACTTCAAACACTAAGTGGTGTAGCCCAAACAAAAGATGCTGCACTGATTTCAGTGCCAGGCTAGCAGAGTTACAATATTATCTACATCTTTATCAAAACATTTCTATGATAAACAAGCAAAGACTTTCCCAGAGTAGCTTTTAGTCATCCATTTTGCTCCTATCAAGCCTAAACACGGATGATTCATTAGTTTTAATTAGAAAGCTGCGCTACAGTCTTGGTGAAGATCATCCAGGTCAGAGTCATTCCAATAAAGTAAAAAAAAAAAAAATCCACTGGAATTTTGTTTCCAAGTTTGAAGATGTTTCGTTTCCCATCCAGGAAGCTTTTTCAATTAAAATGTCAGAATTAGCGTTGAGCTCGAGGCTTTATAGAGTGGACCTAAAAAAAAAATTGTTTTTGGTTAGAAACATGCAAACTGAATGAAACAAAGTGAGAATTGAAATTAAATTAGATTAAAAAAGCTTCCTGGATGGAAAGCAAAACGTCTTCAAACTTGGAAACAAAGTCCAGTGGATTGTTTTCAACTTTTCTGGAATAACTGTGCTACAATGTTAATGTTAAAATCAATACTGTGTTTGTCCCTAGTTTAAGCTCCATGAGTTGATTATGGTTACACAAAGGAAAATACCCAATAAAATCCTAGGTCATAAAAATCTAATTTCATGAAAAGAGATTCAGTCCAAAATTATTTTTTTCTGTAACAAACACAGATTTTTGAGAAGTCAGTTTGATTTCTGATTTATGCTTAGATTGCCAGCCTCACAGGATCCAGCTCTACAGATTTTAATTGCCATTATATTTTAACGCATTGTGTCATTTTAGTACAATTCCACCAAAAAAAATCTCTGTGCTAGCTGATCCATGTTTTCCCCACGACTAAAATCAGAAACAGCTCTGGTGAGCAGAGAACAAACAGATACGATCTAAGCTAATCTATTTACCTGTGAAGCTCACAAACAGATCATTGAACAATTTACCACTTTATTGAGAATCGTCTTCTTTACATGGCTCATTGGTTACAATTCCTTATTAATGATAAATATGATGTTAGGTCAAAACTAAAACAGTTGATAGCAGAGCATGTGAGCGGAGTGTGGAGTGAACGATGGAGCGGAAAGGAAGAAATATGGTAGAGTGCAGAGCTGTTTTCAATTCAAAGGCCGGAGCGAGGATTTCGATTCGCTCAAGTTCGCTCCGACGTATCACAACGTCAATTAAAAATGTTGGATTTTAAAATTTGTAAAATAACATTTGATTTAAGTCTAGTGAAATAAATTATTAATTAAATAGAAAATGCTGCACAACATGAATGAAGCGAGGGGTTGCGTTCACAGCTGGGAAACCGTGATAATTTAAGAGCCAGTTAAATAAGACAATACACATGTATGGGTACCATCATTAAATCAACTGCCGTGTGTCCCAGAGCCCTGGCATAATTACATGAAGGAAAAATGTCAGAAAGTGGAGTGCAGCAGGAAAATTAAGGCGAGCACGGAGCGTCCTGGTACAACTTTGAGCAGTGGAGCGAATGAGCGAACATCCTCCTGAATGGGGAGCGGGAATTGCATGGCGCTCTACTCCGTTCACATGCTCTGGTTGGTAGACATCTTTCTAACTACCTGGAGTTGTAATACCAGAACAAAATAGTAGAGGTGGAAGATGTAGAGTCACCATCTATATGCTATATATTTGTTCTGCCTAGCCACTGAACCAGGTGAGTCCAATCTGCACAATTTAAATCACTGTGACTTGTTGACTCCACATCTCCCATCTCTGTATAATGGACGAGCTAGCTGTCCATATAGATGTATGTCGGATCCATCATCTGACAGTCCTGAAGCAGGGAAGGGACTGATACTATCGCTGAATAGATGCAACAGCTCTGATGAAAGCCAGGAATGCATATGTCTGCTGAGTTGTCATCTTTTTCTCAGCACCAGTAAAGAACCAAATATGCAGGCTTTGGCTTCTTAATACAACAGACTAGTAAAAGTAAATTCAGCTCACAAAATGACACAATGTTGCATTCATGAAAACAGGATTTGAAAGATATTTGGAAGAAACCAAAATACCTTTGTACAAATCAGAAGTAACTCTACCCCAACTTCTAATCAGCAGAATCTGTTCTTGGTGTAGAAATATCAAATTTAGACAAAATTGTTTTAGTTTAGAATTTGAACCAGAGATGTAGGAATCCAAAAAAATAAATTAAAATCCAAACCAAACAGGATTTATGGGGCTTCTTCTTTAATTTAATTAGGGTATATTGGCACAACACCCATGAATATAGTTTCTTTGTCCTTCAAAGCCACAGACACAAGCATGCAGGCCTACTGTAAAGGAGCTTGCATGTTGGATTCTCACAATAATTGTGGGACTTTCAAATAACAGCTTAGACTTCCTTCCCCAGATGTGATGACATGATGACACCAACAAGATAAACTCAAGTCCAATATCCTTCACACCTGTGGCAAAGTTTGGTTTAAATCCATTTTCTTTCAACAAGATGTTTGTTTCTGATTAAAAGGAGAGAGCAATCTCTCAAAAGATGATAAAACGATATTGAAAGAGCAAAGGAAGCTTAGGAGGTATGAGTTAATCCTGTTACAGGCGAGTTCCCAGTTTGAGCCTATACTCTGTTTATCTCAGTCACTTTATCCATCTTCGCCTGATCTCAGTGTTTAGAGGGCCTGATAGCACTAATTGTACTGCACCCTGGTTTCTGTCATTGTGCAATTTAGTTTACCACCATCAGCGTATGTGTGAATGAATAAATGCTCTGCTTAGGGGGGGGATCTCAGAATTGATTAAAGCTCTAAGTAAGTACCATAAACAAAATATTTTCTTCTAATAACATTTTATTAAAAATGTTTTATTTTTATAAACATCTTAAGAATTAATAGAAATATGTTTGATTTGGGGCTGCTCAGTAGGGTAGTGGGTAGCACTGCTGCTTTTCAGCAAGAATGTTGCTGGTTTGATTCCCTACCCTGGGTCTTTCTGCATGGAGTTTGCATGTTCTCCCTAAGCATGTGTATGTTCTCTTCCTCCCACAGTCAAAAAACATGATTGTTAGGTTTATTGGCTTCTCTAAATTCTCCTTAGAGTGTGTGAGTGTGAATGGTTGTTTGTCCTGTTTGTCTCTGTGTTGCCCTGCGATGGACTGGCGACCTGTCCAGGGTGGACCCCGCCTCTCGCCTGTAGACAGCTGGATACCAGCACCCCTAGCGACCCCGCTTTGGATGAGCGTGATGGAAAATGGATGGGTGGATGTTTGATTTGCAAAACAACAATCAGACCCTTTTTCTAGTTCCTAATAATGCATTTAGCATTTTTCAGATAACTTTTTGATAATTTACTAATAAGTCTAGTGGGTAATAACTAGGTACAAATAAAAGAGAACCTTAAACCTAAATCTGGCTGGGGTATGAATAATTTGAGGGCTTCACTTTAATACACTGCATGGTTTCAA